GTGGGCTGAGCCCCGTGCCACGGCCACGCAGGGGCTGTGACAGCCACCCCAAATGGTGCCAGGCGCCCCACGAGCACCCACGAAGCACCCGCAGCACCCCGGGGTCAGGGTCCTGCCCGACGCACGAGGATCCTCCCAGCCCTTTCCCAACAAGGCTGAGCCTGATGTCCGACCTCTCCCTCCTTTCTTCCCACCACCGTGCTGCCTCTCATCCCAAAGCAGAGCTCAGCTTCTTAATTTATTATTTTTTTTTCCCCCCGGGAAGTTGGGCAAAAAATAGAAAAGGAACTTCAACATCATGATGTTCCAAAAATGTAACGGCTTGACTCATAAGATCTCCAAAGCAGCTCATCTCCATAGTGTTTTATTGGCCTCCTGGAAGAGGAGCACCATTTCAGCGTCTGGGTGCTGGAGGTGGAGGTGGATCAGCGCAGCAGCTCGATGGATGCATGACTAAAAACAGCTCACAGCATCCTGCGAAGAAGAATTCTGTCTACACTTGAATTTACAATCATGCTCGTCAATGTCTCTTCATTAACCGGTGTTGAAATGCAATTATTCAAGTTGGCAAAGTTGGGGTTTGCGAAAAAAAAAACCCCGCTGGTGGGACGGGAGAGAGGAGGTGAAGGACTGACGGCTGCTTAAAAGAGCTCTCCAAGTCAAGGGCTATTTGCTTTTTCCCTTGGCTAAACCTGTTGGGTTTTGCAGGCAGCTCCTTTCCGACCGGCAACGGAGAAACGCCCATCAGAAACGGGTGTCCCACCACACAAGGTCCCCTGCCTGCTGCCTGCCTGCCTGCTGCCCGCCTGCCTGCTGCCTGCCAGGCTTTCGCAGCCGCCCCAGGGCTGTGGCTGCGGCGTTTGCGGTGCTTTATGGAGCAGGCAAACCTGCTGCGGTGCGGGTCGGCGAGGCAGGCGCGGGGCCGTGCTGCCGGGGACGCTGCCGGGGACGCGGGCGCTGCCGGGATCCTGCCGCGGTGCCTCTGTTCCTGCTGGCTCGGTACGACGCCCCCCACTCTGTCAAGGCTAACGGGAGCACAGACCCAACGCCGATCCCGGAGAAAACCAAACAGCGATGGTGGCCAAAATACCAACGTGCCGAGGCCAAAAAAAGCGTAAACACAGAAGTGTTCATTAAAAATTGAAACGCTTTTGAAAACATATCGGTTTTGATGTAAGCAGCAAAGCGGGGCAGCAGCGGGGAGAGGGGATGAGGGCTTGTTTACAGCTGGTTCTGCACGCTCACGGGGACGGCGGGTGACAGTGGGACACGGAAGGGACGGTGCCAACGCGGCAAGAGATGCCGCCAGCCTGGCATGGCCGGGGTCGAGGTCCCGCATCCTTGGCTGCCTTCTGTGCCCATGCCAGTCATGCCGACACAACCGCCCGTGCAGCTGCGTGCCAGATCAGGTCACACCAGAGCAGAAATGGGGCCTTTTCCCAGCACACCAGCTCCTCTCCTGCCTCCACGGCACGGCCCCGAAGCACCAGAGGAGAGGAGCCAGCGCCGCACCCGAAGGAAGCCAAAACCGCCCTCCCAGCGCACAGTCTCCGGCTCAGTTGTTTTGGGTGTTCTTGAAGAAGGAGCTTTTAAAAGCGGGGAGGAACAATGCGCATCCTGGCTGAGTCCTGGCGAAGGCTCCCGCAGCACGAGACCCCGGGCAAGGGCAAAGGGGCAGTGAAGATGCTGCCAAGCGGCACCGGGACCCCACCGCTCACCGCAGGTGGTTCATGCCGTCATCTCCGCGTCCTGAACCATTTCTCCTACTATTCAGACTAAAATTGTTCTGTGTTTAAGCTTCAGAACCATTTATCTCATTGAGTGAGGAGGATAATCCACCCACCTCTTCCTCGCTCCCTGGCAGGTATTTATAGGCAGCCATTCGTCTCCCCCCCTGCCGCTCCTCTCCCCAAACCTCCCCGGCTCCATCCCCAGCACCGCGGAGCAGCTCCCGGAAGGATGGCATCCCGTATCCGGAGCCCAGCATCCCACCGGGCACCGGGGCCGGCACCGCCAACCCGCTCCCACCCCGACGCCGCTCCCTGCAAGGGGGTGCTTTCCCCTGCTCCGCATCCCGCTCCGCATCCCGCTCCACTGCACGCCCAGCCCTGGGCGCATCGGCTCTGCCAATAAGTAATTGCAAATTCATTAAGAGCTCATTGAGAGGAGCAGAGGCCGCACGGGAAAGCTGCCCCAGGCACCCGGCAGAGGAGGCTGCTGGAGCAGCGGCTGCTTGGAAATTAAGAGGGGAAGGGGAAAAACACCCCTCCGGCCACATCAGAGACCGACAGGTCAGGAAAACAACCCGGTTATTGAGTGAGGTCAAAGGAAAAGGGTTTCGGGCTGAGCCCGACGCAGGGGTCTCTACGGCGAGGCGGCGCGCTGGAAGCCCGGCGAGGGGCCAGGACTCGCACCATGGGCTGCTCTGGGGCAAGGAATTGGGAAGATAAAGGGAAAAACCACGCGGGGCAGGGTTAGGGTCTCTACAGGACCCAGATTTCTCTTTAGAGAGGGGAGAAATGAGAAATACCCGGCAGCGGGGCGGGCGCAGGCACACGCTGCTCTGCCCCTGCGGGTGCCCCGGCCGCACCACGTGTTTTGCAGAGCTTTGATTTCCCCCCCATCCCCACCCCCAAACCCTCCTGCTGCTGCGACGCTCACTACAACAGCAGCGTGCTCATTAATTATGGAGTAATTGACATTAGTTATTAGCGGGTAACACTGACTCCCCCCCAGCCCGGCA